TGATAATTAACATTTTACATAGAATCTTAGAGTGCGTTTAATAATTTGGCCAGGGACTGTACATAAAAATAATTATAACTCTCCAAACGTTTGAAATTACGAGTCGGTTCTAAAAATAGAATGGTAGATCTTCATTTTTTTCCCGGTACATTTGTTCAATAAGTCATCGCTTCTCGTTGTGCAAACTTGTTTTTTCCTTCTTCTTTTTGTTCTGAGAATCCTGGTGTATATTCTAAAGCAAGAGTTCGAAGAGGAGTGACTCACGCATAACCCTCATATATACCAAAGAATTCCCATTTCGGACGAAGCATTGATATCAGACAGCAAAATTAAAAGAGATCAGAAAAAAAACCCTCATCTTTAAGGATGTCAATCATTCTGAGTGTTATTATCATCGCTATCAAACTGAAGAAACAAAAAAAAAACAATGAAAAAGCAACAATGGAGGGGGGGGGGAAATGTTGCCAAAAGGTAAGTGCTAACTTCAGAGGATTGTCACTTAACCGTCCTTTAATCGAACCAAGCGAACAAAGCTCGCTTATTATACCTTAGAAATCACCCAGTAATTGATTTTCGCAAAACATTGATTGATTTTTTCTCCCTTTAATCATAAAATGAGAATTTTTTTTTTCTTTTTTTTTAAGTTTTAACATGTAACCTTGTAGATGTAGTTTTTTATGGTAACAGTATTCTCCATTCAAACAGGGCCGGATTAACCATAAGGCCACACTAGGCCATGGCCTGGGGCCCCCAATGATTAGGTGCCCCCTTTAAAGGGATTTTTTGAAAATAAATTAAGAAAAACAATGATTATTTAAAAATTTTTCAAAATGTTATGATTATTTTTTTAGTTTTAATTTAATAAAATAAAGTAAATTTTAATTTGTTATTATTTATTTTAATTTTAAATACGCTTTCTTAAAAGAAAAGATAGATAAATACTTTTATATTTGAATAAATGAAAAATATATACGAGAAATTTTTTTTATCTAAGGGCCCCAAAAATTTGAATGGCCCAGTGCCCGCGTACGTTTAATTCGCCCCTGCATTCAAAGCTATCGAAATGTTCACCGAAGTGACTCGAAAACAATTAATTTACTGTCCAACCTCTATTTAACGAATCGCTGAATATTAATAAGTTCGTTATATGGAAAATTCGTTAAATAGAAAATCACCTTTTGTTCTTGTTGTTCATTTACGTTGCACTAGAGCTACACAATGGGCTATTGGCGACGGTCTGGGAAACATCCCTGAGGATGATCCGAAGACATGCCATCACAATTTTGATCCTCTGCAGAGGGGATGGCACCCCCGCTTCGGTAGCCCGACGACCTGCACGCGAAGTCGAGCACTTCACGGTAGAACAGTTTAACGAGGACCCATACCGCACACCGTCGGTCCCTACGCACACTGATCCAAGTGGTCACCCACCAGCACACTGACTGCAGCCAGCGATGCGTGCTGGGAACCGTGTCTTAACGATCAGTCCACTGCGGGACATCACCTTTTGAAATACTTGAACAACACAAAACAGGGTTTAAATTCATAAACACTAGACAAAATTAAATTAGCAATTGATACAATTTCTTCTTGTAAGCTAGTATCTACTATTTATTTTATAAATCTTAACCATAAAAGAAATCTTCATGGAAAGCAAGAATAGAGCAAAACATTATCCAGTGTTACACTATCATGCTACATACATTTTGAACTTAAAAAAATAGTGGATAAAATGATCGCTGAATTTATTCTAAAAGGAATTTTGAAATACAAACAGAAAGGGATTTTACTGATTTCTCTAAAAGTAATGTGGCTTCGATAATCAATTCAAGGTCATTTCCTCCATTGGAAAAAGGGGATCTGAAAGAAAAGTTCGTTCAATAGAAAATTCACTTCGCTATTTGGAAAGTTATTTCACGCAGAAATTTCGCAAAATTTTCCTCGAAAAAAAATCGCAAAATAGAGAAATTCGCAAAATGGAAGTTAGTTAAATGGAAGTCCGATTGTATTATTAAAAAATTACAGAAACCTGTTCAATTTGTTTTGTTTCATATATGTGTGGAAAAGGCATCAATTTTTTTTTTAAAATACGACGCACGGTATAAACATCTATATAATCTGACCTCATACGCACGTTGCAGTTGCTGCGCTCATATCTTTTTGCAGTGTTTTCAGAATCTGTGCCTTGAGCGAGTTATTTTTCCTCAATCACGTGGCCATCAAGTTACCGCCAAAGACAGTGTTTATAAATCACCCATGCCACACTTAATTGAAGATTTCCGTATAGCTATCGAATACAGTTAAAAGTTCTTCATAACAGTAATTCCCAAAAGCAAATTAAATACTCGTGATAGCAAGCTGTGTCGTTATAAGCAATTATAAAACAGAAGTTAAAAGATTAAATGCAGTACAACAGTAGTTTTTGATGAAACAGAATGTCGATTTCAGTGGGATACCTGCAAGTGACGTAGTTTGGTAATCTCAATCCTGATGGGTTGTTGAAACGTGGCATTTGTTTACGTTAGCAACTGTTCTTTCCATCCCATTTCGAGTAAGCCAAGCCCGCCAAGTAACAATACTCTTAAGTGACACATTCTATATTCTTTCAAAAAAAATTCTTTCGCAAAGATTTCAATATTTACACAGAGAATTAACACTATAACAACACGAAGCCATTATAAACAAACTAATTTTGCATCGAAGTTTTCAGGTACACAAAACAAAAATATATCTCGGTTACAATAAAATACATAAACAAATAATAAATCTAAAGATAAGTAAAAAAAGTAGACAGAAAGAATTTAATTTCAACTTATTCGATATGCGATAACTGCTCTGTTTTTAATTAGCTTAATTAGCTGTATTTAATTAATTAATTAGCCAATGGGCTATTGGCGACGGTTTGGGAAACATCCCTGGAGGATTATCCGAAGACATGCCACCGCAATTTTAATCCTCTTCAGAGGGGATTTCTTCCCCGCTCCGGTAGCCCGATGACCTGCACGCGAAGTCGAGTATTTTACGGTAGAACAGTTAAACGAGGACCCATACCACACACCCTCTGTCCCTACGCAGACTAATCCAAGTGGTCACCCACCCGAACACTGACCGCAACCTGTGATGCTTGATTTCGGTGATCTGCTGGGAACCGTGTCTTAACGATCAGTCCACTGCGGAACGATATAATTTTCCTTTTCACTCCCTGTATGGTTTTTTATTATAATGTATACGTATATGGTAATAAATTTTGTTAATCTCAACCAAATAAACTTTGCCATAGTAGAGGAAGATTAGTAATTTTTGAATTGATATGAGTGTTTGTTCCCTTAGCATTTTGGTGGATATATCGTATGATATCGAGCTATTAATTCATTGCAATGTGTGTATTAGTTTTGGAAATATACATTTTTAAAATCTGGTCATTTGTTTTCATATCATTACTGGCGTTGAACAGGCTATCCACTTTTTTGTTTACCATCAGTATACCACCCCGTAGACTTGTAACTATGAGCCCAGCCCAGAAGAGGGAACTTCTGGATCAATCATTGGGAGAAATTAGCCTTCGTGGAAGACCTTTTGACTGAACTTATCCTCATTTGCATTACCCGGAGAGGAATACCTGTCCCGGTTAGCCAATAAGAACCTAACCCACGATTCATTTTCCAGTGAGGATATTTTGTGTCAGGATTGTTTTCGGTACGAGTCGGAGTTCCTATCAACCGGATTCGAACCTGGGTCAACTCTATTCATTTGTTCTGTGCAGTGCTAAAATTTTCATTTTAAAATTATAGTAAAATAACTGGCAGTCTATCTGATTAACCGTAATATTTACGGTAAAGCAAATTTTTTTCCTTTATGGTTTTGAAACCATTTACAAAAGGCATGGTTATAAAACCGTGAATACAAAACTATGCGGTTTTTCAACCATTTGCAACTAACATTTTTCAAAAATGAAAAAAAAAATAATTATTTAACTAGACATAGGTCGGCTTTTCGTAAGGTAATGGGCATTGGAGAGTGCCGGACACTGGAAATTCTTCATGTGTTGAACGCAATGGAGGAAATATTGTAGTGTCAACCAACACTAGGACTCGAACTCCAGTCCTGCCGGTCACGAGATTGAAATGATTGGCAAGTGGACACACGAATAGTCTATTGTATTTTGAGGGAAGAAAGACTTATGCAGTCTGCTCCAAATGTGAAGCCCAGCAGGCTTCTGTCGAACATATCCTTGACTGATTGGGCCTTTCCAAGGAGGACTTACACGCTACTCCACTTCTTGTCATCGACAGTTTGAGGGTCAACAACCTATTGGATCTTGTGTGACAATTGGAGGATAAGGAACAACAACAACGGAATTGACTTATAAGCCCGCTCGGCTATGACATGTAAGCATTTGCAAAGAACTAAGTAGCTTCATTAGGTGGTTCGTGTTGGGGATATAAAATTCTGGTTGTTTAACCGTATGAGGTGAAAGCAGTTAATAAACAGTTTTTCTACAGTTTGATTACCATTTTATTTATGGTTATTTGACTGCTTTGATTAAATAGGGTAAAATAACCATTCAGCAAATTGTTATTTAACCATTTTTTTCCCGAGAAATTTCTAACAGTGTGTGTCAATTGTTGTGTCTTGCAGGTCTAATGTCTGCCCTTTCAATGTGATGTCTATGGTGAAAGTAAGGAAGGCCTGCCTCAGAGCATACACTAAAATAGAGAGGATTCGAAAACCCAACTGCCTCTACTCGGACGAATATTGCACTGACTACAAACCCAGGTTATTATATCACCTTTTTCTAACATCATTTTCCATGGCGAAATACAAAATTTGAGCATAATCGGTCGAATAGTTCTTGAGAAATCAAATTTCAAAAAAGTCAGATATTTAAAACACGATTTCTTAAGAGACTGTTCGACTCAAATTTTGTATTTTGCCTCATAATTTTATATTCTTTAAAATGATAAAAAAAAATTTATACGTTACAGGTTAACATTTTTTCGACCATTATTAAATCAAGTAATACATATTTACTAAAAGTTGTTTTTTGCATGGAGATATCTTTGGATTAACGAATTTTATAATCGTGTGCTATTACCTACCCTTGCTATCAAAAATAAGCAATTAAGAAATCCCAACCCCTTGTTCGTTGTCTGTTAGGTAATACAGGGTTATTCATAATTCCCTCCTCCTGTAAACGCCATTTTTTTTACTACAACTGGCTTCATTGGTACATGTTACTGCCATCTACCGGCAACTGCTTAAATTAAAACTTGAATACTTTCGGAATAATTTCGTATGTTCTTTTTTGCCATATTCGTCTGCGTTTTTTACTATAACGCTTCGAAACCCCGGAGGGAATTATGAACGGCCCCTTTTATTTTTATCCTCTATAGTAACTTTTTATCCTAACATTTGTGTTAAGCAATATAAAAATGAATTCTGTGTGAATTTTTAAGTAAGTTCCCTGACTTTAAGTTCGCTCCAAGATGTTCTAACTCTATCATTCGCAAAGAGACAAAAAAAAAATTATTCGTTTTAATCTTAAGTAAAGGGATGAGATATTCTATCTTTCTCTTTTTATTATAAACCAACGATTTTTTGTTTTCATTAAACATGGTTTAAAAACACACTTTTTATTTTAATACAAAACATTTTCCAACTCTGCATCTGCTGTATTTGTTATTGTAACTTTTCTTTTAATCAGAATAAAAATCTATATGAAATATACATTTGTATGGGTATATTTAGAAATTGAGAATTTGATTGGGGCAATTTAAGCAGAGCGATTAAACAAGATTCACTAAAAATGTTCCCTAAGTTTCTAAAAATTATGAATTGTATTTTATCATTCTTTAAAATTTTAACTTTTCTTATTTTTATTTATTTTTCTGATAGAGTTATTTACAATATTGGGGTAAAATAATTATTATTAATTAAAGAATAATAACGTCATGGGAAAAATCGTTCGAAAACTCGATCATCGAACGATTGTTTACTTTTCAAAAAGTAAAGGAATTTGGAGCTCTCTCCGAAATCTGCGTGTCGCTGAATTCATCCTTTTTGTTTAAATGGGTAAATAAATTAGAATAGTTTTTCTCATTTTTTTTCAGAACTGTTTATTACACGGGATACACTCACAAATTAGAACCGAGGTACCACACCATCTACAGGTGCTGCACAGAATGTCTTCCGGTCAGCGATGACGGATGCGTACACGGTAAGCATATCAAACAATTCTTTTCCAAACAAGTTTAAATTCATAATGATGACGTCTGTGGTGTTACCTGTGAATGACCGAATATTGGTTATTGTTGACTTCCACCGGTGAATACTGACAATCACATGGTCGCTTTGGTAAATGTCCGTAATATATACTAGTTAAGTGCCGTTACCCGGTATACATTTGCCCGGTATACCCTACACTGATGTTTTTTTATGGTTCAGTATGCATTTAACCTGTATTCCGAACACTGATAATTCTCTTAATCTATCCTCAGAAGATATTAAAATATGGAATAAGTATAATAACATCAACGAGTAAACTAATATCCAATCGGATGTAAGAAGTATTTCTGACATTCACCAAAGCGACTATGATATTCACCGATGAAAATAATTATTCTCTTGATTTTCGTCCTTCACAGTAACAATAACATTAAATTTCGACTATAACTGTCCGAGTCGAATAGATCGTTCCATTTATATAATTAACTGAGGTGCTTTTTTGTGCTTTTTCTTCTTCTTTTTTTCAGTGCTTTTCCCCAGACTTTTTCTTCCGGTGCTTTTTTTACCCTAACAAATCGGTTTTGTACATAGTGTCAATTAATATCAATTTATTGATTATTTACAATTACAAAAAAAAAAGATTGAAAAATCGTTTATATTTTATTATTTATCTAAAATCACTTTTTACCGAGCTGCAATGTCTCATTGTCCGGACTCAGAGTCCGATGACGAAGGAGCGGGTTCGATCCTGAGTAGCGGCATGAAGCCCACCGGGTTCAATGAGTATTAGCTGAAGTAACTATTATAATACAGAGGGATATAATTTTTTTTTCCTTTACTAGCAAAATAAATGAGTAAGACTTTAAAAAAAAAAAACTTTATAATTAAATAACTTTCGAACTAAGCAGAATTTTAAAAATACAAATTTCAAATTAAGCTCACACATAAATATGGCCTTTCTGCACGTTAAGTTTCATTTCTGTAGTTGCATTTCCGTGGGCTGCAGAGCGACCGCATGGTGATTTTTGCTGCAAGGTTAGCAGCTTAATTTCTCTGAATAACTCTTGAATGTTAAATTAGATTTTGTTTAATCTTCCTTCCTGTATATTTTTAACACACTTTCGTCTTCTCAAGTTTCTTGTAGCCTTTGCACTTCTTGTAACTTTTGCACTTCTTGTAACTTTTGCACTTCTTGTAACTTTTGCACTGCAAAACAAAATGTAACGTAAAATTGAACTCTCAAAACAGCTATTTTTTAATGTTAGAGAGCGTTCTTTTGTAGATGAGTGTAGTGGTCCTACTGATGACTGCGATGAAGAACGTCTCAGGACTTACACCCATTGTACATGTGATAAGAAAAGGCAACAGCCACATCACTGCAACAAAGGTATGCAATACATTATTTTAATAGACTCACCAGGTGTCGTGGTGGCTCAGGGGATGGAGTGTTCACCATCCAATGAGGTGAACCGGGTTCGAATCCCAGTGATGGTTGATCTATATGAATTCCGCACCGACCACAGTGCTGACTTAAAATATCCTCAGGGGTAAATGGATCATGGGTTCGAGTCCCCTTGACTTCAAGAGAACCATGGAAGGATTTCATGGTTTCCCTGTCCTCGTAACGTAAATGCGGATCAGCTTCACAAAAAAAAGCATTCCACGAAGGCAAATTTGTCTCAACACTTAATTTAGGAGTTCTGTTGTCTTCTGGATCGAGTTCCAAATGACAGGGCTATGGAGTTGAACATTAATAGTCGTAAACCCGAAAAAGTGTGTCGGCTGTTCAACGACGGTTATAAAATAAAATAAAAAATAGTCACCCACTATCATTAAGTTTGTTTTTTGATGATAGACTCGTTCATTGTTGGATCAAAATTAAAAGTTACTAAAACAAAAAACTCAAACTACTCTAAAACAAGTCTACAAAAACTCTACTGCTTAAGTGTTGAAATAATTTTTCAGGTTATCTAGATTAAATAGTTAAATTCGCTTTGTTGTTTAATTTCACAAACTATCCGATAATCCGCGCATTGCGTACACTTAAATTAACATGATGTTATTTATTTTTTTACAATCTAAAAAAAAATCAGTCTATTTAACATCAATTAACAAATGAGTTGATAAAATAAACAACTGTTAATGCCCATAGTAAATTGTGGAGATTCTGCACTCTATCCTAAGTAAATCTGTTGATTTTTTTGCCTCAGAACAACACATGAACACATGATAGATTCCACGGATTCAATCCCCGATTCTATTAAATCCAAAAATTGGATCGGCTGTTCAACGACGGTTATAAAATTAAATTTGGGTATAAAGTTTCGAATTAAAAGAGAAAGTTCTTAATCAGCATTTACTGTCCCAGATAGCAAAATAAGGTTTATTTTCACTCAACAAAAACCTTTTAATCTAAACCTAAAAAGGTTTGGGATACGGTTTACGTGTAAACCTTCTAATCTTAAAACGAGATCTGCGACAATATGCTCTATTCTACGCACAATACCCTAATCCAAAACCTTAGAAAACAACCTTCGATATAAAAACCTTTAATCGAGGTTGACTTAAGAGTTTTCAAGCGTGAAAAAAACCTTTCATAAAGCTAGCCTCAAGGTGAAAACAATCTTAAATCTAGATTATTATAAGGTTTCTTTTCGGAAAGTCTCAGCTAAAATCCACCTTGTCATGAAATTTTATTGGACAATAATTAGTTGACGTCACACTAGCGTTAGGATGCTAGTGTGACGTCAAGTAAAACGTCATTATAGACTTAAGTGACAACTTTTTATAAAAGCTTTAAAAAATAATTTTTAATCCTTTTAGGATGAAAGGTTTGAAACTGCAATATTTTTGATTTAATGAAAAAAAGGTTTTTAGTACAAACATTTTCGTGACAATAGAAAGGAAATTCCGAAACAAGGTTGCAGTAAGGTTACATGCTTCCTGGGTGTCATTGTGAAGTAATCAACGTTGACTTTAAATTTGTGTAGCTCTAATCTTATTAACATGAAATAGGAATTAAAATTGTTTTCCTTACTTTAACTAAGATTTCTAATTAAAAATTACATTTAGTTACATTCATTTTATTTAATAATTCTTATTGTGTATTCATATTTTTAATGCCGCACAAAAAAAAAAAAAAAAAAAAAAAAAAAAAAAAAAAAAAAAAAAAAAAAAAAAAANTAATTGTAGAAGAATCAGCAGTCGTAGAAGGATCACTAGTTCCATTCAACGACTCTTTTTCCCGCTCCGCTCGCTGCCGTGCTCTGTAACCACGGTAATATTGTTCCATTTTTCCCTCGTGGACCTCTTGAACCAGTGGAAGTGCTTGTGGTTGCCTCATCGTCTCGCCCTGGAAAATGTATTTGTATTAACAATGTAAGCGTCATAATGTAATTTCAGAAGAGAAACAATGAATTGATATTCACAAGAGGCGTACTTTGACAGAACCTTAAATCCGTCGCATTGTCCGTGGGATTGTTTTCACTCATTTTTTACAGGTGTTATCCACTAAATTTGAAAATAAAAAATACTACCCTATTAAATTATATGTGTATCAAAACAAACTAAAAAAATATTTATAGAAAAACAATACTTTTATGACTTTTATTATTTTTATGCTAGTGAGAACCAAAACAATATG